TTAGTTATGACCTATTGCTTTCTATTTATTAATTGTTGATATATAACCATTGATCTCATGTGTGAACTGAGCTTTAACACTAGTGTTATATATTTAAATCATTAAATTAAAGTATTTTTTATTTTTCCCCATTTCAAACTCCCTAACATAGCATAATCATTAGGATACTCCTTCCAAAGGTTATCTTATAGTATAAACTTAGATTTTATTTGATAGGATAGATAAAAAAATAAAAAATAAAAAATTGACAAAGAAGAAAAGTAAATATATGTGTATATATATATATATATATATATATATATATTGATATTCTTGATGAGAAAGCCAAAAAAAGTAGACTTATAGTTAAAAATGAAAAGAATGAAAAAATTATAAAATTTTATCATTATAACCTTTTGTGAATTAAAATGAAAAAAAAAAAAAAACTTAATATAATCAACAATATTGTAAATATGCTGCATTTATTTAAACTTCTCTTATTTTCTCCCATTTTATATTTTTAATTTAGATTAATTTGTATTTGTAAATAAGTGTAAAAAATGTTAATTTGTCCTTTTTTCTTTCTTCATAATTTTTTGGGCTAAAATCTCAATTGATAATCATCTAAACAAGCTCACACAAGACACAACAATTTGATGTAGTTTAACACTCAACTTATCTACTTCTATGGATAAGAGAAAAAATTCACTAATTTTAAAAGAATTACCTACATATCAGAATTTAACAGTTAATCCAACCCAAACATATATAAATTAATCTCAATCTAAACAAACATTCACCACAATTCAAATACTCTTTTTTTTCTTTAGTATCATTGAGTAATCAAAAATTAAATATTCATACTCAAACACTCACATTCTCCTTTAATGATATGCAATAATCCTAAATTAAAATTCATACTTATAGACATTCTCATTCTCCTTTAATGTTATGAAGTATTAACACACTAAATATTTAAATACATATCAACATACGCTCTTAATTTCCTTTAATCTCATAAAAATCTACCTTGTAAAGTCTTACCATCACTATATTTTTTTATTCAAGTACCCACATGAAATCATAAATGATTTTGATCTCAATAATTTTTTTTATGAAACAATTCAAGGAACTCTTAAGTTAATTATGTAGATATTGAAAATTATCCTTGTAGTATAGAAAATCAAGATAGATAGATTACGGATAAAATTTGAATTCAAAACCACTTGTTTTTATACTAATCACCACTTAAGTAGCGTTCAGTATTTTTTGCAAGATCATCATAGTAATGTAATCATTAAGATAATTTTATTACTAAGATAATATTATCACTTATGATTTGAAATTACTTTATTTGGTTAACAATCATTAGATTTTAATAATTGAAAATCACTGTGTTTGGTATTATTAAAAATCAAAAGTTATTTTGTTTAAAAGTATAAAAATAACTATACATATCATAATAATTACACAAGTAAATGATTTTAATAGTGTTTAAAGATAATAATTTATAAAATATTAGTAATATTTTAGTTATTTTATGATAAAATATAATTAAATTATTAAAATATAAATATATTTATTGATAGAATTTTATAATATAAACTATGTAAAAAATATTTGAATTAGAAAATAAAAGTAACCTATTAAATAATAAAAGAAAAACAAAAATTTTATATTATGTATAAAAACATTAAAAAATAAAAAATAAATAAATTATTTTTGAATTTGTTACAGTGAATATTAATTTGAAAATATAAAAATTTATAATATAAAATAACTACAATTAATTTTGAGAAAAAAAGTTTTTAATTCACATAGTAAATGAGTAATATTGATTATTCTTAATTTTGTATATTATTTCTCCTCGATGATAAAAAGATTTCACTTCTTTGAATAAGAATTAAACTACCTTTTAAAGCAGTGATCTCATCATTCTCAATGTTTCAGATTATTGTTACGTAAGATTATTAAATGGTTATTAAACATGACGATCTAATCACCATATATAAATCACCTTAATTTTTTGAGTAATTACTTTATACCAAGCACTACCTTATTGAGCCAAGAAGAGTTAGTCATTGTTTTCTTTCAAGGTTTGGATAATCTTTAAGTTCCTCATGTGAAACATTCTTACAATTATGTAATTTCTCTATTGCCAAATCCTACTATTTTTTATTTTCCTTCAGTTTTTTTTCTTCGGAACGTCCAACTCTAATATTTTTCTCACCTGATTTTCTTGACACATTTATTTTTGGAAAATATTTCTTATATTTTTGTATGCATGAATCTTATTTTCAACTTTCATTCATGAAGTTTGATAAGCGCATATCTTCCTAACTTAAGGTAAATTTTATTTTTTTATGATCACATGACTTTATTTTTAATATTAATGTCATGAATGATTTTTAAATTATAATAAAATATTTAATGTAGTATATAAATTGTAAAATTTTTTAATTTGATACATAAATTATAAATCTATTAACTAATATGATATTTAAAGGGATGTTTATCTATTACGTATCATTATTTGAAATTAGTCACATTAAAAGTAAGAATTATGTTAATTAATATATTCATAATTCATATACCATATTAAAAAATTTTAAAATTTAAATATTATATTAGATATTTTACTATAATTTAAAAATCATTCATTAAACAGCTTATTCTTAAACTTATTTGTGGGCAAGATCAGACCAAGCCAGTTACAATTTTAAAAGTCATGTTCAAAGTTTAACCAAATTTAAGATTTTCGAAATTTTTTAAAAAATATTAAAATATCAATATTTTAATATTTTTAATTAAAAATAAATTAAAATATTTTTGTTAATAATTTAATATCCCAAGATGGACTTGACCCAAATTAAAAATTCTTTATCAAAAATTCGATTTAATTTTGGTTCGGCCCTCGATCCACCTTACTTCATGGATAGGTATACTTGTTCATTATTTATTTATTCATGAGAGGTAAGGAAGATAGTCCAACTCGAATCTGGTAGGTTTCGACCCAATTTGACTTTTTAGTATCATTTTTTTTTAAATCGAGTATCAAATCGAATCAGTTAATAATAAAAAAATTTGAAGTTGAGTCGAGGTCAAGTTTACATAATAAAAAAATTGAAGTCAGGTTGAGGTTAATTTTAAGTAAACTCAATCCGATATATAAAAAAAATTTTTAATTATTTATTTAATTTTATATTTATATATTTATGTATATATTTAATTTTATATTTATATTAAAAAATAATTTATTATATTTTAAAAAATAATATTATATTAATTTCGAATCAAATTTGGATTAAATTTTATATATATAAAATAAGGTCGAATTCAAGACGAATAAAAACCTACCTCAACTAAATCTGTTGTCATCTCTAACGAGGGTCGTCTTATCTATTTATAGATTTGGTAATTTCTCCATTAAGCACCGAAGGAGAATTGTGAACCCCAGCTTGTACTAAATCTCTTGGTTTTTTTTTTTTTTTTCATGTATTAAGAAAAGCCAATCCTAAAAAATGAAGGTAGAGTCAATTATGGATAGAAATTTTATATACCTATAGTAATGTAAACTTTTGAATAAAAAATATATTTTTTATGATTTATTATTTCATCTTTATATACTACATTTTTGTATGTGTGTGTATATATATTAAATATATATATATATATATATCAAATATCAAAGTAGTATTCTAGAGTGTATTTGTTATGGTTTAAAAAAAATCACTCCTTGAGAAACATGTTAGATTTAAGTTAAATAAAACTTTTTTTTAATAGTTGAGGGGTAGGCCTGAAACTTAAAAATTCTGAAATAAGCCAAGTAAAATTCGGGAAAAATATTTGAATTGTTAATTGGATTTAGGTGTTGTATGTTACCATTTATAGTCTCTTGGATTAAAATCAAGAAAATGAATAGAAAAAAAATCAAGGGCATTCAATTTAATTAGAGGCTGATTGGAAGCATTTTTACCTATAATTTTTTTTAGATTTAAATACAAAATAGTTATTATATTATATATTCTTTTACCAATTTAGTATTTAGAAAAAAAAAAATCCCATTCTGGTAGTATTTTTTTTTTTTTTTGATCAAGCATTTTAGCATTTCAGTCAAGTACTTTAGTCAACTTGCTTATGTACTATTAATATTTAATAAAATCATGATATATGACATAAAATGTCATGTTATCATTGTAATAATTAATGTAGCAAAATTTGAATATTTATAACATGTGGTATAATTTTATTAAATATTTATATTACGTTAATTATTTAATGATAATAATATAAAATATCAAAATGCGTGACAGAATCAAATTTAGAGTGTGAAAGTAAAAATTTTATTTTTTTTAAATACTAAATTGATAAAAAATGTATAATACAATGGAGCATTTTATATATTAGCCTTACTTCATTTGTTTAATCACAATAAAATTATGTATGAATCCATCACTTATAGATAGTAGATTCATATAAAATTTTGATAAATTTCACACAATTTGAAGTTTTAATTGATTAATTGTATTATAATAATTGTAAATGATACTTTCGATAAGGTTAAGAAAAAAAATTTTAAAAATAAAAAACCGATTCAATTTTTGAATGGAAAATAAAAAATGCAAATGTTTTAATTGATTTATATATTTTTATTAATGGTTATATTTTTTAAATTTATATAAAATAAATATAATTAATCATATTAAAATTTATTTACACATATTAAAAATAATATTAAAATAACAACAAAAATTTTGAAAATAATTTTAAAATTAAATAAATCCAACTAATAAAATTTAATTGGCATCAATTTAAAAAAAAATTGTTCAAATTTGAATCGGCTTTGAAAATCCAAAACATTATGTATTAACCGAATAATCAAAGCGAAATTTAACCGAACCGTTATTCGGTTGGTGGAGGAACAAATCATGGTGGGGTGGCCCAGAACAGATAAGATTGCAAGATTGAGTTGACGTAGAATAAAAAGAGCACCAACAGAGAAACCAGTCTACCACTCTAGTCCATAGTGCAGGCTGATTCCCTCATCGTCTTATCCTGTCCTTCATTTCAACGCCCATAGTCCCAAGTAATTTATATATAATGTTACCGTCTCAGCTGTCCCCATTGCCCAACTATTCTATACTCTTTACTCAGCTCAGCAGGCTTACCATATAAAGAACAAACACCGGCTGCACTGATCACACCCCCCCCTTCTTTCACTTCCCAATCCCACCGCACATTTATAAAGTTTCTATATTTTTTTGTTTTCATTTATTCAAAGACTTCTCAAAGTTTTTATTTTGACACCACGCATTTCATTTCTCCTAAACCTGGTGGGATTTGCCTTTTTCCTTTTTTTGGAGTTAAAAAGAGTTCCTTTTCACAGTTTTGATGGCTTTGAATTTGGTTTCTTCTCCTGAAATTAAGTCGATCTCCTTTGTGGATTCCACCAAGTCAAAGTCCAATTCCCTCCCCAAGCTATTTCCAGGTTTTCTTTCATCTTTTGCCTCGGCTTACTACAACTTAATTTCTTTATTTCTTGCTTCATTCTATTTTTGGTTTCTAAGAAAACAAGGAAAAAATTGTTTCTTTTTGTTTAAAACGCTGAAAAAGTTTCTCTTTTTGTTTCTTGGGCTTGGGTTTGGATTATAACTTTTATGATGGTTGTTTTGTGAATTTAAGGGGGGTTTGTTTTGAAGAGGAAGGACTATGGCACAACGTTTGGGAGGAGAGTACAATGTTCAGCTCAGGCTTCACAACCACCACCGGCATGGCCAGGACGAGCTTTTCCAGAGCCTGGGCGGAAGACTTGGGATGGCCCCAAGCCTATCTCCATTGTTGGTTCTACTGGTTCCATTGGAACTCAGGTGAAAAGAGGGAGAGAGAAAATTTTTTAATTTCTTTTCAATTTTAACATACTAAAAGTAACTTTTTGGCCTTTTACCATTGAAATATCCCGCGATGTGCCCATGTGCTTTTTTGCTCTAATATTAGGCTTCCATGTTTTGTTTGGCATTTGATCAAGTTATTTAGAATCATAATTTGGTGTTTTGTAGACTTTGGACATAGTGGCAGAAAATCCAGATAAATTCAGAGTCGTGGGGCTTGCTGCTGGTTCAAATGTGACTCTTCTTGCTGATCAGGTAACTGTTCAGTTTTCACCAAGTTATGGCAACCTGTTATGCATTAGTTTTTCCAACTTCCAGTAAGGTCCATTTGGAGATGTCAAACTCGCACTCGAGTAACTTGATTCATGGACAAACATTAATATGATGTCATAATTCACTGATAAGTTTAGTCTTAAGTGGTTGTATAGTATAATCTCATATAAGGTAGTTTCTGCAGATGCTTAAAAGTGTTGGAGTTAAATAAAAAATAATTCCCTTGATACAAGATTAAAGATGTAAAATATGAATTGGGTTTCCCTGTAAATGAATAGGGTGTATAAACTTTGGGGGCCAATAACTTTTCTGCATGTTACAGGTGAAAACATACAAACCTCAACTGGTAGCTGTTAGAAATGAGTCTTTGGTAGATGAACTCAAAGAGGCTTTGGCTGATATGGAACAAAAGCCTGAGATTATTCCCGGGGAACAAGGAGTTATTGAGGTAGCCTATTATTTAGTTCATTGTTTCATTTATTTGACTATATAATGTCATTTTCATTATTAGATGGTTAAGCTTAAAAATTTTTCCAGGTTGCTTGCCATCCAGATGCTGTCAGTGTAGTTACGGGAATTGTAGGCTGTGCAGGATTGAAGGTACCAAGTGATCTTTTTACTTTTTTCCTCCCTTTGGTGATGTTCTACATGCTGCCTTTTCAACCTGGTAAATCATATCACCTAGGAGCTTCCTAGGCTGCATTAAGATTTCTTGGTCTAGTTTCATTGTAATATGCAATCTAAAAAACTGAGTGCAGTTTAGGCTAATTTAAAGAAGAAGATTATATGTTTAGAAAAATCTTAAGCTTGTGATTGGATTATAGTACTCGTTTGTGTGCAAACCACAGAGAATCATCTGCAGATCTATTTCTGCTTCTTCTATGTATCGCTTCCTTTGCATCCACTGAACAAAGTATTTTGAAGATATTATGAACTACAGTTTACTGTTAAGAATTATAATATGTATTAGAAAGAGAAACAAACAATTTGTTGTTTATTAGATTATATTGATTAGCTGCTAAAATCTCCATCTTTTATTTTTTTAGCCTACAGTTGCTGCAATAGAAGCAGGCAAAGATATTGCATTGGCCAATAAAGAGACCTTGATTGCAGGAGGCCCCTTTGTCCTTCCTCTTGCTCACAAGCATAAAGTAAAAATCCTTCCAGCTGATTCAGAACATTCTGCCATATTTCAGGTATGGAACTGTAACTGAATGAATAAGATTATCTGAAAATTGCTTGTAGTTCAGAGATTCTTTGTCAATTATGTTGTTTTCTTGTTGGTAGTTGGGCATCTTTGCACTTTTCTTGGTGCAACTTGTTAAAACAATATGCTTGACCTTTCCTTTTATTCCTCAAGTCATTCTTGGCAATTACAGAACAAGATCATAAATCTTTTTGTTTCTTCAGTGTATTCAGGGATTATCGGAGGGTTCACTTCGGCGTATTATTTTGACTGCATCTGGTGGGGCTTTCAGGTGTGAAATCATAATTTAAGTTAGAATGATTAAGTTTGTTAAGTTGAAAGTCTGAACTTATGAACTGTTTACTTGCAGATCTCTCCTCACTTTTCTTTGAGGAGCAAGTGTATATTTATTGATGAATATGTGATATAACTTGCTTTTATATCTCTAATTAAGAGCTGTATTGAACAATTTGCTCACATAGTTTCCCATAGGGATTGGCCAGTTGATAGATTGAAAGAAGTTAAAGTAGCAGATGCTTTGAAGCATCCTAACTGGAATATGGGAAAAAAGATTACTGTGGACTCTGCTACCCTTTTCAATAAGGTTTAGTTTTATCAACGACTTGTTGAAAATTACAAGCAGTGTGCTTTTCAATATAGTATGTTATTCTTTAAAATGTTAACCTTGACTAAATTATTAGCATTAAGCACGTTCTCTATTTGACAGGGTCTAGAAGTCATTGAAGCCCATTACCTCTTTGGAGCCGAGTACGATGACATTGAGATAGTAATTCATCCGCAATCTATTATACATTCAATGGTTGAAACACAGGTTTTACTCTTAACTCTATCATGTTGGCTTCTGCTTGGTGATGCCACAGATGTCACATGTTACTCACTTTTAATTTTGTGTGGGCTGTTTTGCCATTGAATGGCAAGATGGAGAGTACATACTAGAATTCAATTTTCATTTCTCATAATTATTTATGCGTATGCTTATTTTCAGGATTCATCAGTGCTGGCTCAGTTGGGATGGCCAGATATGCGCTTGCCAATCCTCTATACCATGTCATGGCCAGAAAGAATTTACTGCTCTGAAATAACTTGGCCTCGCCTTGATCTTTGCAAGTAACTAGCTTGTCTTCTTTCAAATTTTACTTCATTACTAATTTAATTTTTCAAAATTTGATTAGGTTTCATTCAATTTGCAATAATAATAATAATAATAGAAATAGTAATAATCCTGTGCAGGATGTTTTATATTACATTTTGTTTACAGCATGTTACCTTTGAAACTTTGTGTTGGTGGAAAGGCAAATTTATTGAAAATGCAATCTCACTATACTCATTCTCTTGCATTAAATTGGTTGATGGATGGTACAGGCTTGGTTCACTAACTTTTAAGGCTCCCGACAATGTGAAATACCCCTCCATGAGCCTTGCCTATGCTGCTGGAAGGGCTGGAGGTACCATGACTGGAGTTCTTAGTGCAGCTAATGAGAAAGCTGTAGAACTATTCATCAATGAAAAGTAAGTATTTTGTTTCTTGATGTTATCTTGTTATCATATTTTACTTTCACTTTACGGATTTGTTTCTGAGTTCTGCTTGCCCCTTGTTGTGAATTTTGTTTTTCTTTTTAATGATGAAGATACTTGATGAGTTTATGGTTGAAACCTCTTTTACTAATTGTAATTAATGAATGAGGAACATAAAACCAAGTAGATTAGGAAAAAAAAATCAAGTCAAAGTAAATTTTCTTCAAATCCACTACACATTTTTAACCATGTAGAAGTTGTGAATACGTGGAATACCTTTCATGTGGATATTTGAAATGTTGGCCACCATATATTCCACATTTTTGGCTTATTGTTTACCCTTTAAAAGAATATCATAGAAGCTGTGAAACAAATGATTATGATTTTGTTTTATAACATGAATCTCTATATCTAAACATATGTAGAATTTTGAAGTATTGTTAACTTTAACATGAAGTGGTGGAAAGGACATGAAGATGATTCTTATCCCCAACTTGAGACCACACCTCACCCTTCCTCAATTCCTCAACACATTTTTTTTACCTTCTTGCAACTCCAAAGCTTTTAAACGTAAACCTTTTTTTTTTTTTAATTTCTGTTGACCATTCCTCAGAAACTTTTTGCTTAATATATGCATGACTTGATGGTTTCATCTTCTTCTTTAGAAAAAGTACTTGTATTTTGGGAAGAAGGTGGGTAACCTCCATGTATCTGGAATTTGGTTAAGTCAATATATAATGATGATTGTTGAGCTTTTTGTTATTATGATATGAGGATTATATTCCTAGGCACATGTGCTTGATGTAAGAACCTGGTGACCTGGAGCTGATAAATAGTTTCCTATTTCAGGATCAGCTATTTGGATATTTTCAAGGTGGTGGAGTTAACTTGTGGGAAGCACCAGGAAGAATTAGTGGCCGCTCCTTCCCTAGAGGAAATTATACATTATGACTTGTGGGCGCGAGAGTATGCCGCCAGCTTGCAACGCTCTTCCGGTCTAAGTCCTGTTCTTGCATGAGTGATGGCTTGCTCATGCTGACCAGGCCGACAGTGGCTCTATCTTGAAGACTTGGAAGTTTCAAATTTATGCTGAAGGCTGGCGATGCTGCAAAGGTTTGCGGGGGCATTGAGAAATTGTATCATATATATAATATGAAAATGGACATCCTGAATATCATTCATTCCCCTGATTAGTTGTACATTGTCAAACACATTCCGCGGTATATTGATAGCATTAAAATGATTTTTAGCTTATATAACCTAAAGGGGGGAAGATGAAAGTACAGAGTGAAAAGGGTGGAGAACAATGAAGATTGCTTTTTGCGGTACCAAAAGTTGTCATTTCATTTACATATTGTAGTTATTTCTGCATCGGTGGATAACAAAACAATCATTCGCGACACTTGGTCTTCTTATGAGTGATTTTACTCTCAGCTGCCTTAAATTTCCTTGTTTTAAGGGCCGTTTGGTTTATGGTATCTTGAGTGCTCTTTGAGAATGGGATTTTTCCATTGCACTATGTTTGGTTTGGTATGAAAGAACACATAGGTTTGGTATGAAGAAAGAACAATGTGGTGAAGAAAAAAAAAGAGAGGAAACAGAGTTATTTTTTCATTCATTGTGTTTGATATAAAGGATAAAAAATAAAGAGAAAAAAGGGGTTAGAGATAAAATTATAAATACAATTATTAATTTAAGTTTAATATTTTTTTGTTTTGAATTTAGAAGGATTGGATTGGAAGGTAATGGAAAGTTATAAATATACTTTTTTTTTTCTTCTTATTTTATTTCTACCAAACAAAGAAAATGGTAAAAAGAAAGTGGTTTTTCTTTATTGTTTTTACGTAATACAATGTAAAAAAAATTTTATTCTCCATTCAAAGGATTCTTGAAGCAAATGGATGATCTACAAATATTGTTTCCTTGTTTGGTTAATCCATGCATATAATATTCTTGGCAATTATTTTTCTAAAATGTCTTTCTAATATTCTCTTAGCATTTGTCTCAATGGTTAGTGTAAAGAGAAGAGCTGAATTTTTTTTCCAAATGAAGACAGCAAAAGTTTTTTTTAACATAATTGAAAGCTTGTATATTTCGTATCAAACCATTTATTCAATTCCCCATTAATTATTTTAATTGATATGAAAGCATTTAACAATAAATTGTACTTGCTATATATTCTCAAAGCAAATTTAAAGTTATACATATTTATCAAAATATTTATTTTAAGTCAAATAAAAAAAATTTTAGATGTGAGTAGTGAAAGTAAACTAAACTTAGAAAATAAAAAGAAAAAAATTGAAGATTTACGGTAAAGTATGGCTGTGTTTGCTTTGATAATATTGCAAAATAAAAAAAAAAATTTAAGATTTGATGACAAAGTTGAGGATTACATTTAAATAAAACTATATAAAATAATCATTTAGTTTTGACATGAGAAAAATAATAATACAGTGAAAATTGGCTTTGATGTAATTTTGCCTAACATTTCGAGGACAATTTGAATCACAATCATCTTCAAATAGGGCCTTGCGAAAGAAAATAGATTCTCTTCAAATAGGGCCAACAGTTTTTGAAAGGTAAGCAAGGTGTATTAATTTTACATAGGATAAAAAAAAAAGATTGTTGGGTATGTAAATATTAGTGTCCTACGCATTTTAATAAATCGATTTTGTAATGATAATATGATAAGTGATATTAAAATTAACTTTTGATTCATTTTATTTTACATTAAATATCTTAACGAGAATAAGTTAAGTTGATCACTTAATAAGATATTCACATAAGCACGACAGTAAAATTTAAGGTTTATTTTGTTTTACGAAATATAATTTTTACAAAATGATTTTTAAAAATATTTATATTTTTTAAATTAAAAAATAATTTTTTATTATTTAGATAAGTTAATGAAAAATATTTTTTATTATTTGGTTGTTTTTTGAAAAAATTTTTTTTCAAATAATATTAATATAACTATTAAAATATTAAAAAATATTTATTATTAAAATATATTGAAATTATTTATTATTAAAATTATTAATATTAAAAAATAATTATATTTTAATAATAATATTTAATATTAAAATATTATATTAATATAAAAAATACTTAAAATAAAACCATTTATTATTATTCTTTATATTATTTATTAATATATTACTATGTTATTTTATTAATTAAATTAATAATATTTATTCATAAAATATTATTTATATATTAATATATTATTTTAATAGTATATTATTTATTCATAAAATATTATTTATTAATATAATATTATTTATAAGTATAATTATGCTCAAAAGTATTGATAAATAATTTTATTTATAGATAATTATTTTTTGAAAAATATTTTTTTTCAAAATAATTTTAAAAAAATGATCTTATTTTTCATTAATCTATAAATTATTTTTTGTTAATCAATCAATTTTTTATCAATAAACACTTAAAAATACAAAAATTATTTTTTTAAAATTATTTTTCATGAAACAAACAGAATCTTATTATATCAAATGCTCTAAAAATGAATCAATAAGGTGACGGTTGCGACGAAAACATCATGATACTAAATAAAGGAGAATGTTACAATATGAATCTTTAAGAAGCAGATAAAATACATCTCAAATCAAATAAAAAAAAGGCCGTCACGCTTTAATAAACTGATTTTATAAGAAGAAAATAATTATCACCTGACATATACACCAAATTTTGCAACTAGAAATGAAATAAAACGAAAATGGAGGAAATCTAATAAGCTAGCCAACCGGCAAGTTGTTGGCAGCACAAATGGCCGAGGCTGAACATTCTTCGATCAGAGACATCTTTTTGGGCCTTGGATACGACTAGAAACATGGCTGCTTACCGGTAGAGACTAGTGCTGATTGATTGGGAAGAGTTTTGTTTTAGAGGCAGGAGATGCCTCTAAAAAAGCCTGTTTTCATAGAACTTTGACATTGAGGTTCAATTAGCATAAGGCGGGTGATTTTAAATTTTTGAGCTGACCAATGAATCGAACCTGAATTTGGGGATGAGATAGTTTAAGGCCAATGAAACGGGTTGCAACTATGGAACCTCAAAACCTTGCCCAGTCCGTAGGCCCAGTATACGCACTGCCCTGCTTAGTTTTGCAGTCACTTTGCAAGAAACATACCCCCTTTTTTTTTTTACCTGAAATGGAGAATCCCATTTAGAAAATCACATGGCAAATTTAAGGCCATCACATATTTGGAGCGACACAGATTTTTTCAAATTTTCATTTGCTCTAGATTTATAAACACCCCATTTCAATCACTTTATAGCATAAAAATTGGATTCCCTGATTGGCGAGGGTTCAGGTAGACAACATCACAACGCAGAGCACGAGAAGATGAAGTTGAGGAGATTTAAACCATCCAAGTCCAATTGTAAATATACAATTTTTTCGTGGGGATTGTTTTTTTTATCTTCGTCTTGGTTGTTGGATGGAGATTCATCATGGAATCCACTGAAATGAGCATTACGTACTACCAACCTACACTTCAGAAAAAATAGGGTGGGAAAGTAGTTTGGACAATGCAACCCAATCAACGTATCAGCACTTTCCTGCAAACGCGGTTGTTTTTATCTAGTATAGATTACTATCTTGTCTGCTTGTCATAATCTGTCATATCCTCTAACGTCAGAATCCATTTCATTTCATGGTGTAAGTATAATCATTTTTTTTTTTGAGGTTTTTTTGACAATTTTCATCATCTTTTGTTTCACCCACAAAACTATTATATAAAGTGTATTCATTGGTTAACATTACAAACTCATTAGGTTTTTTCAACCCTTTCTGTTTGGACATTGGATATGTATTTTTTTTCCTTCCTCTACTTAAACCAAATGACTTCATATGGCTTCTTATTATAAGACCATTCAAGTGATCAGCACAGTTCTTTCTCTTTTAAGCAGAAAAATATTTTAACTTGTTTTTTTTTTTTTAATTTGGAGGCTATATACATGAAGGTATCAAACATGCTTGGTGTTTGGAAGGCTATTGGTTCGAATTTTATGGAATCACTTGATAAGAAGTACTGCAAGGGTAAATGAATTTGGATAGAGATTTTCAGTGTTTCGTAAGAAAAAAACATGTTCAATTATACGCTCAATTTAGATTAGGTGATCATTTAATTATGAGATGTTAGTTTGCAGTCATGCCTAGGAAGATTTTTCACAACATGCATGAACCATAAATTTGTTGATTGCCCCCTTATTTCCCTTTTCCCCATCTCCCTGAAAAAGAGAAAAAAATAAAACAAAAATAAACCAAAAATAAAAAGAAGGTAACGGTAGTTGTAAATATCAGAAAAATATGTAAGAGCAGATAACAATATTGGGTACCAATTATATAGAGAGCATCCACCATGTTTGATGTGTGAAAGTACTGTTTTGTAAAATGAGGGAAAAGTTGGCTCTCTATCGAGCCTTTTCCACTGTAGATTTATGCTTGCTAACATGTCAATGCTGCCCATAGAGAAAGCATTTTCATGAAATAAATGAAGGAGCAACATGGCAATTGGGCAAGAACATGGAAGGAAAAACTTTGGTCTGCCATTTTGAGGAAGGTGGCTCAAAAGCTAGGATTCTCGTGAACATGTCCAGCTATTCATCAAACAAATTTCTACTTCATAAATAATCCAATCAATATCCAAATTCAGGATTTTGAAGAGAAAACTTTGCTGTAAACTTTGTCAAAGGTCGCATATGGCATAATTGGCATGGTATATGGCTTCGAGGAAGATGACTATGTATATTGATGGGATTTACCTAAAGAACCTTTTGGAATATGGCATATATATAGGGCCGCTGGAACTGGATGTTTTAGTGCCCTCCCAAAGAATTATTGTATTATCTTTGGACTGCAGCCACTGTTTGTAAAAAAAAAATTACTGTATTGAATTGGTACACAGGTTAAATGCTGGTGAACATTTTGCAAGTTCAAACAAAGCAAATGAGAGTGCTAATTGAGACATATTCTACTCCATTTGACAATACAAAATTTTAGACTTGCAATCATTCCTCCCTTGCTAACCAGTAGAAAAGCAAAAACAGAAAACAAAGTAATTTCTTGCGAAGAAAAAACTCTCTATGGAATTTTTGTCTAATGGATCCATCCAAGTACTTTACTAGGTGAAAGGGCACTGGAATTGGTTTAGCACTTCAGGTTCTCATTGGAGAGTTGAAAGAGGAGAGAGGAAAATAAAAGTGAAGAACTGGAAATCCTTTTTGAAATGTAAAAATATAGCTTTTGCAAAGTGGGGAGTCACTGCGGATTCTGTTGGTACCCCAAGAAATAAGGGTGCCTGCCTGGCTGTGACTGAGAAAGTGAGAGTACAGGCTTTGGCTGTTTGGCGGATGGTATATTTGCTTCAAAAGAAGTAAAAGAAAGGATGTGAAAATACCCCATAGTCAAGACCTGAATACCCTACTCGGCTACTTCTTGGTTACCTTCTCCGGTACTCTTTACAAAAATGAGTAGAAGAAGATAGACTAAAGCATGATTTAATCATTTACCATTATCTTTTCTCTGTTTATGTGTCCCTTTAAAGGGAAGGCTGACAAAGAGAAGGCTCCAATGGTCCTGCCCCTGGCCCTGGTAACCCAAAGGAATCTAGCAGGCTGTTATTGTTGCTTCCTCTATTTTTACATTGACACCGTACATTTTACTTTTTTTTTTTATCTTTGGGAAGAAAGCCTTGAGTCCCTAATGCATCCCTAACTAGATTTGCTACGATGAGCCATATCTCTCACTCTAGCTTATAAAATTTACCAATAAACTTTGATAAATCTAAGTCATGTACTTTCTTTATATCATTCCAATTGCATGGAATGTCCCCTAAGAGACTTATTTATGTGCTTTTATTACCTTTAAAATGATGGTACTTAAGCTGTTAAATCAAATGCCCAACTTTGAAAAAAACAAAGCATCAATCGAATTCAAATCCCATCTTTATAGTTACAGATGATCTGTTTGGATTTAAATAACATATTGAAAATTTTTAATATTATACATCAACTAAAATAATTTAATCAAATGTGATCCGATTTGTTATAATCCATAATAAAATGTTCTAATATCTACAGGAAAACTTAGACTACAGTGCACGTCGGTGGAAAAATACAGGAAAGGCACCAAAGCAAGTGAGAATTATCAAGAGCAAGAGTCTTTGGTAAATGCATGACATGCTCCATGATGTGTGGTCATTTGTCTGGTTACTGTCAGTAGCCGGGAAGGGACCAGGAATATTGGAAGTGGATTCCTCTACCACTTTACACAATTTCAAGGATTTCTGGAAGCTTTTACAGGAAAATTGGCTTGGACTCAATTACGAGGAAGATCACAAACGACATAGACCAAGACCAAGACCAAGACCAAGACCCTAACGGCTTCCAAGTCCCTGAACGGGAAACAGATATACACATTGCTGCCAATTGGATTATCGATCTTTGCTTTTCGTTTCCATTTCTACAGCTACTGTCCGAATGGATCCAACCCACAAAGCCCTGCCAACTGTAAATTAAAATTGTGTTCCCACAACTAAAGAAAATTAGGATTGATCATGACCCACTGTTTCCAACCCACAAATCACAAAAGAGCTTACTCTCTTTTTTATGGGACCCTAGGGACCTTCCCTGAAAAATGTTTAAAGGATTCTTATTATTTTTGGATAATACTTTTAGACTTAGGACTCTGGTTTGTCCAGAAATGATGAGGCAAGATGGAAACCTGAATAATCTAGTTTTCTTGAGATAATGCACTTGTGAATCAGCAATGGACAAGGTATATTTATTTCAACATAATGGCCATAGGCATGCCAATAGTGTAATGATTTTTATTTTCTTTTCTTGTGAATGTAAGTCTCCCCTTCCTTTAATCTAAAATACACTTGCAGCAATTTATTAACTAATGTTTGCATTCACTTTGAAAGGAAAAAAAGTTGCATTTGATATCATAATTCTCTTACCGGCTTCCATACCATATGTCGTTTGTCAATCTTAGAACAAAAACAATCTGACTCCACTTTAAATAAATAATAAAAAAACCTAAACCGGGATATAAGAAAAGCAAATTGGGAATGAGATACGAGACATTCAATTGTCAACTTATGAGTATGTAATGACTCTGGGTGACCAAATGTTTTTTTTTTTTTTTTGGCACATTCTCCACAAGTTGTTAATCCAAATCGTAGTTAACTTGTTCGCATTTCTAACTATAAATTACTGGTATGATTAAAGCAATGAAGATGAAACACGCCATAAAATATTTCGTTCAACTCTCGAATTTCGCCGACATTAGACTAAGTCAAATGAAACAAGAAGATTCATTTTAAAATTGTATGAATTTTCCCTACGGTAAGCAGAAATAGGCGCCAGGATAATCCCCAAAGTGACCATGATACCTAATCTTCATTAGTATTAAATTTTAATCATCAAAAGTATTTTTTTTTAATACATCACAACTTTTACAAAGGAGACAACAAAACTAAATGTATAGAAACAAGTTTATCTGATCAAATTTTCAACGGAAAGGTTATAAAAATGTGCATTTTCACACTTGTTATTCTCATGTGGATGGTGCTAGAACAGCCAGAACTTAAAAACAGAATGACATGAACAGAACCATAACAAAAGAGTGAATAATTTATCCAAGCACTGTCTATATATTAATTTACACAAGAGATGAAAACACATCTTAATCAAAACTAATCATATTTACTTTCTCAAAAAAAAAAACACAAAAATGAAAAACAAAAATGGGAATTTAAGAAGAAGAAAAAAAAAGAGGATAGGAAGGTGACATAAGCCCACCTTTCATTTGCTCTAACATAGTAACATTAATATCTTCAAAATGGATGCAAATTCCTGCTTAAGTCATTGACATTAGAAAATATTCCCACCAAGTCCTGCCTGTAAGGCAAAAAAGGCCTTTTCTTATCCCCTGGTTTCATGTATCTGTTACTACCACAATGTTCTTCAGCTCCCTTAAACTTTCCCGGAATTTCCATTACCTTATTATCATCGACGTTACTAGTTTTGTCTCTCTTGCTTGGTGCTAAGAAAACAAACGTGTCTTTTCCATCGCTGTTACTTCTATATATTAGGTCCCTTAACCTCCATCTCTTTGATGACCCAGTTGAATTGCTCTTCTTGCATCTTCCAGGGGATTCTTGGTTAATAGTCCCTGATGACCCTCCTTTTGGTGTCCAGACACAGTAAGTACCTGGCGCCACCCCATCGAGCTCATCAGCTTCTGAGGATGAACATGAAGTCGTTTCACGTTCTTCGCTCATGAGTTTTCTCAATGGTAAGCGATGTGGTCGTGGTTTGGATACAGTGGAAGTAGAGTCAACGTTTTTCCTATTAGGAGTTTGGTCATCGTTGAGCAAGTTGGTGTTAAAAAGTGGGTAGGTTGGCCTGATTTGTCCGTTGTAAAAGATTTCGTCTGCTGAGATTGGAGATGCCTCTGGCTCTCTACAGACAAACGCAAACTCGAAATCATCGTCTTCATTGTCTTCCTCTTCTATGACCGGTTGTTGATGTTGTTTTGGTTGGGGCCAAGTGTCGTAGATGTCGTCTTGAGAACCAGATTCTTGTCTGAATTCTTCAACAACTCTTGCAGCAATTTCAGCAAGCCTGCCTGAAGAGTAATTATTGAAGCTTGGAGAACTTGGGGATGGCGATAGAACTGAACTTGCCTTCATTTGCATATCCATGATAAACTAATTAACAAATAAAAGATATATAAACTAACAAATTTTTTCTTTCTTGCTTTTCTTTCTTGTTGTTTTGTAAAGTAAGAGACAAGAGGAAAATGAAAACAGAGGAAGATTTGGATTAAAAGGAAAAAAAAAATCAAGTTTGTGTTATAGAAAAAAAAAAGTGGATATGAAAATATTGGACTTTAAAATCAGATGGCTTGTTAAAGCAAGATACTCCTCCACGCATTTAAAAAAAAAAAAAGAAACAAATAAAAGGACAAAAGAAATGGAATGATATTCGAAGAAAGCACCAGAAGGAAAAAGAGGAGAGACGGGAGGCAGACGCGCTTTCTGAAGAAATATTTGATGAATGTGGCAAATAAATCTAGTGTGCATAAGAGATAAGACTTCTGTTTATAAATTTATTTTCATTTATTGTTTGGTCTTAAAATCTGGAGGGTGGGGTGTTTACTCCTTCCTAATCTTGGAAAGTTGTTTGCTTCTTTCACACGAAAATATGAGCTGGGTTTTGTATTATACGTGGAAGAGTATGTGAGTTCACACGTGTTTTAACAAGTCTTTTCGGCTGGAATCTTGATTTGGGGGCTTTTAATTAAATTTGGCTCTGCACTATTACAATAAATGAGAGCGGAGGTAATTTCGGTGGCTGTTGCCTTCTTTCTCTTAAGGCTGGCTTTGCTGTTTTTTTTTTTTTTTCGAAGATGTTAAGTAGTAAAAGTAAATTAAGGAGGGTAAGTCTTGGGAGGACATTAATATTTCGACCTTATAAGAACACCTTGTTGAATAGATGTTTGATCATTGATATGGATGTGGACATCAAAACTTGAACATTTGCCTTAAGTTCTACAACATTATACATTACATTATTCAATTCAATTGAATGCAGCATTTTTTTTTTTATGCTGCTAAAGACCGCTTTCTTGATGTTATTAAATGTTAGGTCGTCTTATTTTCCAATTTTTATGACAAGAAATGCAAATAATTTACATTCCTTAACAACAACGAAACGTAAAAGCTAAGTATTGTATGTTAACATCCACTCTCAAAGAGAACACTTTTTTTTTTCACTCACAGCTGAAAATGCAGCTAATTTATTAATTTCCTTGTCTTCCAATTTGTTGAAAGGCCAGGAGAGCTTAACCACAATAAAAAGAAGAAATTTGGCTATTATATTATATTATATGCCCATCTGTATTGTGCAAAGGAAAGCCTAAGGCAGGAGAACCACATACCAAAATTTGACATTTAGTCTATTCATTACTTACAGGCTTGGATTGCTTTGCTTCGGCAAGCATTGAGCGGTGACTAACCAGTTATGTGGAGGATTCCCGTCCGCACCGGTGCTTGACACGTGCAAAGTTCGACGCCTCACGTGTCTTTAGCCGGTGTGTAATCCAACCAGATGGTTGCAAAACTGTTTCGCTGCCGCGCAATTTCATGTGAAAATGATGCTTAACTCAACAGGAAGGGAATTAACGTATCGAATTTCATGATTTTGACAGTGACTCATTTCCACATTTGAGTTCCTTGTTTTCTTTATTTTCATTAATCAGAGGAATGGATGGATCGATGAAAAATGAAGGGAATTGGCTGTATTGTCCCAGTCTTCTTTAAAATAAATGCCCTTTTTTTTTTATTCATTAATTTTACTGACATTATGAAATCGCTGATTATTTTTTGAAGATAATCAAAATTAAAATTTGATCATTAAAATTATAAAATTCGAATAAATTGACGTGTTTTAATTTAACCATTGCATTTAAGTTGAGTTTTTCCATAGAGGTGAACGTACGCTACATTTGCAACAGGGGGAATTGCAACCCGTGATGATGTTAATTGAAGAAACCTTTATTGGAAGTAATGCGTGCTGAGACCTATATCAAATTATTGAAAACGAAAATCTTTTAAGATTAATGTTATGCATAATTTTTTTCTTATAATAAAATATTTAATATAATTTTAAAATTTTAATCATAAATTTATTAATTAATATAATGTTTATTTTTAATATAATTAATTTAAAATAAAAATATGAACGAATAAATAATTTTTTAAATATTACATTAATTATTAAATTTATAATTTAAATAATACATTAAAAATTTTTATAATTTGAGTATCATATTAAATATTTTATTATAATTCAAGTATTATTCGTAACAGTATCCCTCTTAATAAACCTGCTAAGTATGGATATTTGGTGATAATTTATCATAACAAGTATTAAAGATTATTCAATTTTGATTATTTCGAATGTTTTACACACTTTAAAGAAAAACCATATAAATGGATAACTAGTTTATATTTTTTCATAATTAGTTTACAAAATAAAAAATTTGAGACTGATGCTCTTTACTGTCTTTTACGATTTTAAAAGTAATTTATGCAATAAACTTAATTCGATATATATATTTATTTATTTATATATTTATTTGGTTTGTATTTTATGTAAAAATAGTGAATCCATTCAAAGGCTCTCGGCGAATGAGACATCGTTGTCAGTTGTCACCTCTTTAATTAAAAAATTTACAAATGTAAGAGTCCTTAATTAAAAATAAACATCATAAATTTTGTAAGACATCGTCTAAGTTTTGAGTTTTTAATTTTAAAGTATGTAAATTTTTAGTCTGGATATTGTGTAGAATATATATATATATATGTATATATATATACATATATATATATTAAATATATATACATATATATATTAAATATAAAATTCATATTATCCATTTACGAAGGCATCAAATCAAAAATTGACTAGGACTATTTTAATTCAAAATTCGTGATAATATTCAAGAAAGATTTTCATTTAATTAAAAAAAGATTTTTATTTAAGATTCATTTGGGTAGATAATAAAATTAAAAATAACAATAAATTTGAAATTAATTATTATAATTATGAGATTGGACAATATAGTAATAAAATTAAAATTGACAAAAATATGCATTTGTAAGTAAAAATAATGATAATATTGAAGTAGATTATAGTAAGAAACAAATTATTATTAAAGATATTATATTAAAAAATGTATGCAATAAAATTTAAATTATGTAATATTTATAAAATTAATAAATAATTAAAATTTTTTAAAATTATTTTTATATCAACTAATAATTTTAAAAATTAATAATTTGAATTTGTCAAAAAAATCATTTGAAAACTTTATGTAAAAAAAATAAAATAAAACAAAAAAAATAAGAAATGAATAAAAGTGTGAAAAATATAAAACAAAGAAAGGATTAAATTGGAAAAAAATGCTATTGAATTTCCGCTGGACCTTCATTGGTTCAGTTACTAAGTGACGATGCAACATGTTGAAATTGTTTGAGCGTGCTAAAATTATGTTATCCGAACATGCAAACGGTGCAATTACGCTCCCAAATGGCCCCACACCTTTGCTGCTTTTAAATCCTTAACGAGTGAGTTGGATAGCATGGGTGGGTTATATGCTTGTTTATTAAATTATATATTTCCTCATCATTAGTCGAGGTAAAAAGGCTGAGATATACTATTATTGTTTTTTTTTTTTTTTTGAAGTAATAAACTAATATAGTTAGGATTGTGAAATAGCAGCAGAATTTTGAGTAGTTAAGGCACGCTTATCATATATATATATATATATATCAAACTCCCAACAGTATATTTCCACAATTTCATTACTATGGATTCCTTTTGAGAAAATTGTCTTCTTTTTTTAATATATATAACCTTAAAATCCAATAATTCAACTTTAAGTTGTCATTAGTGATAATGACATATACAAGTACTGACCGGTTGGTAATTTGCAGAGTCAATGCATATTTAAAAGGAGGAGAAACTGCGGTTGGAACCCTAGTGAAGAAGAGGTTATTATTCTTTCTGGCAGATTGAACTGGTAAAGCAGAAGTAAACTTTGAGAGTAAAGAATGGGAAATTGTGATTGAGATCGAGTGCAGCGTGATTAAGGGATTCATTGCCAGCTATTTCATATCATAATTACGTGAATTATAGTGTATTTTATAGGATGTAGAGCCTCCTTTTAAGAGGTGGTTGAGTTTGACAATTCACCATTAGAATCCATTTTAAATCATGTTAATTAACACCTGTCTGCCCCCTCCCCTCCCCATTCTTTTTTTTTTCTCTTATAAAAGATTAATTTTGCTTTCGGAAAAACCATATTTGATCCCAATTTTTACAGAAATTTTCTTTTCAAAGTGCTTGGAACACCTAAATTTCATAAGATTTTGTGGAATTCACTTGCGAATTTCATAAATTTACTTTGTTCTCAAGTCAATTCCATTGGTTTGACTATTGTCCTTTCTGTGAATATCATTTTTTTATTCTCAAGTTGAACACATTTTTTAAGGAAAGTACTTACCCTTGGAGTCAGCTACGAACTTGTCAATCTGCCAAGTTCCTAACCCGAAGTCCTTCCTGTGATTGATTGGAATTTGCTCGCTCTTATCCAATTCTTTTATTTTTTTATATTTAATTTTTTTATGATTTTTTTATTTTTTATATTTAAAATCATGAAATTTTAATTTTATAAAAAATTTTAAAATTTAATATTAAATAAATTAAAATCAAAACTTTTTTTTTTAATTTTGTAAAAATTAATACATGACAAATAATATGAAATATATATTAAAAGGAAAAGGTATTGTGACAAAATTTACGTTTATAATGCAACCTAACGCATGTAAATATCGTTCACCTAGAAAGAGATTATGCAAACCTTAAAAAGGGAAGGAGTGAGACGGCAACAGAGAGCTCTAGGCTCCAGCCATGAAATTAAGTTGGTTTTAGGATTCAGTCGAAACAATTCAACACAGAAAATGTTAGAACAAATGTCTAAAAAATAATAGAAATAAAGAAAGGTTCTAAGAGGTGTAATAATATCACTTTTTTTTTAATTTTATTTGCCTTATTGTATTATTTATTTAATAAGTGTACATAAAAATTGCATATGATGAATCCAAAAAATATAATGAAATTGAATGATTGATTGTGTTTGCTATGATGAAATTAATTCATTGAACATTCACTAGCATATTATAAGATTATTAGACTTTTATTTAAAAAATTTTTGCCACAAAACATTATAAAAAAAATTGAGAATTATTTGGAGAATGAGAGACAGTTCAAAGTAAATTGTTTTTGTATTTTTGTAAGTTACATGTAGGGGAGACACTGCGTCATTATTTCATGGGTTTTTTTTTTTTTTTTTAATGTGAATGGGCTCAAAGGCTGTGGCAATATGTGTTCCCCTAGCATTAGTGACTTTTTGGAGATCGAACATACTGTAATTAATTTGCTCTTGTTAGTTATGCAAAGTTCAGCAATGAAGCGTTAATTTAAGTTCATTATTGTGGTGTGGCTAATATGGTTTTACCGCAACAAATGCTTACACGAAG